CTTTCCTGTTTCAGCATGACAATGTCCCCGTGCACAAAGCGAGGTCCATACAGAAATGGTCTGTCGAGATCAGTGTTGAAGACTTTGACTGGCCTGCACAGAGCACTCAACTCAACCCCATTTTACACCTTTGGGATGAATTGGAACGCCGACTGCAAGCTAGGCATAATCGCTCAACATCAGTGCCCGACACAACTAATGTTCATGGCTGAATGGAAGCAAGTCCCCACAGCAATGTTCCAACATCTAGTGGAAAGCCTTCCCAGAAGAGTGGAGGCAATTATAGAAGCAAAGGGGGGACCAACTCCATATTAATACCCATGATTTTGGAATGAGATGTTCGACGTGCAGGTGTCCACATACTTTTGGCATTGTAGCGTATCAATACTCAAATGTAGGATTGTCGTGTTGGTTACTTGGGGGGAAAAAATTTTATTCTTTGCCCCCAGATACAAAGGCCGGAAATAAAACATAGTAGTGGCAAAAGGTTGAGGTCATGGAAAACACAAGAGGAAATAGGAACAGAACAGGCACTGTGATGGAAATGTGCTAAATAGGAGCCATCTTCATGACTTCAAAGACAAAACATCCCTATCAAGAGTTCAACTTATTTTTGTGTGTGTGTGTGTGTGTGTGTGTATGTGAATCCCAAATCATTGGCTGTTACAGAGGTGGGAGATTGGATAGTGTCACATAAAAAAATTATCATTCAAGTCGATTTAGTGGGAAGAAAGTTAAACTGTGACTGCTCACAGCTGTGATGAGCTTACTACCTTGTAAAATTCCTTCAATTGAACCTTGAATTCAGATCTGAGGCCATTACTGACCACTCTTAACCTTGACTGAACACAGCCCGGGGCTTCGTCTCTCCTTCCCTGGACAGGACATCTAGATTTCCCCTGGGGGAGGAGGGGCCTGCCTGCCTCTGTGTCCAGGAATAGACCATATGGGAGACAAGCAGGAAAAGATGCTGGGAAAATGTCAAGAGTTTAACAGTGACTCAGAGCACATGCAGCTGTTCCGGCCTCAGACTACAATATACTCCTCTGGTACCCCGTCTCCCTCAGACTACAGTATACTCCTCAGGACCCCCCCGTCTCCAACCAAACCCTCAGACCCCCCCCTACAAAACTCCTCAGGACCCCCACCTCCCTCAGACTACAGTATACTCCTCAGGACCCCCCACCTCCCTCAGACTACAGTATACTCCTCAGGACCCCCCGTCTCCCTCAGACTACAGTATACTCCTCAGGACCCCGTTCTCCTCAGACTACCAGTATACTCCTCAGGACCCCCCACCTCCTCAGACCACAGTATACTCTCAGGACAGCACCCCTCCCTCCCTCAGACTCAATATACTCCTCAGACACCCCACCTCCCTCAGAATTACAGTTACCTCTCAGGACCCCCCCTCTCCCCAGACACAGTATACTCCTCAGGACCCCCTCCTCGACTACAGTATTACTCCTCAGGACCCCCGTCTCCTCAGATACAGTATACTCCTCAGGACCACCCACCCTCAGACTACAGTAATCTCAGGACCCCCAACCTCCCTCAGAACTACAGTTACTCCTCAGGACCCCCACCTCCCTCAGACTACAGTATTACTCCTCAGGACCCCCCACCTCCTCAGACTACAGTATTACTCCTCAGGACCCCCGTACTCCCTCAGACTACAGTATACTCCTCAGGACCCCCCTCCCTCAGACTACAGATATACTCCCAGGACCCCCTCTCAGACTACAGTATACTCCTCAGGACCCCCATCCTCAGACTACAGTATACTCCTCAGACCCCCACAACTCCCTCAGACTACAGTATATCCTCAGGACCCCCGTTCTCCTCAGACTACCAGTAATACATCTCAGGACCCCCACCTCCCCAGACTACAGTATACTCCTCAGGACCCCACCTCCCTCAGCTACAGTATACTCATCAGGACCCCCCGTCTCCCTCAGACTACAGTACTCCTCAGGACCCCACCTCCCTCAGACTACAGTATACTCCTCAGGACCCCCCACCTCCCTCAGACTACAGTATACTCCTCAGGACCCCCCACTCCTCAGACTACAGTATACTCCTCAGGACCCCCCACCTCCCTCAGACTACAGTATACTCCTCAGGACCCCCCTCCTCAGGACCTAAGTTATACTCCTCAGGACCCCCCGTTTATCCCCAGAACTTACAGTATACTCCTCCAGGACCCCCCACCTCCTCAGGACTACAGTTATACTCCTCGGGACCCCCGTTCTCCCTCAGACTACAGTACACTCCTCAGGACCCCCCACCTCCCTCAGACTACAGTATACAGTCGTGGTCAAAAGTTTTGAGAATTACACAAATACTAATTTTCACAAAGTCTGCTGCCTCAGTTTTGATTATGGCAATTTGCATATAGTCCAGAATGTCATGAAGAGTGATCAGATGAATTGCAATTAATTGCAAAGTCCCTCTTTGCCATGAAAAGAACTTAATCCCCCAAACAAAACATTTCCACTGCATTTCAGCCCTGCCACAAAAGGACCAGCTGCCATCATGTCAGTGATTCTCTCGTAAACACAGGTGAGAGTGTTGACCAGGACAAGGCTGGAGATCACTCTGTCATGCTGATTGAGTTAGAATACATTTACATTTTAGTCAATTAGCAGACGCTCTTATCCAGAGCGACTTACACATATCATATAACTAACCCATTATAATAATATATATCTATCTAAACCATAATTTTATATATCCATCTAACCCATAATATATATACAGTTGAAGTCGGAAGTTTATATACACCTTAGCCAAATACATTTAAACTCAGTTTTTCACAATTCCTGACATTTAATCCTAGTAAAAATTCCCTGTCTTAGGTCAGTTAGGATCACCACTTTATTTTAAGAATGTGAAATGTCAGAATAATAGTAGAGAGAATGATTTATTTCATCTTTTATTTCTTTCATCAGAATAACAGACTGGAAACTTTAAAAGGGGGGTGGTGCTTGAGATCATTGTTCTTCCTCTGTTAACCATGGTTACCTGCAAGGAAACACGTGCCGTCATCATTACTTTGCACAAAAAGGGCTTCACAGGCAAGGATATTGCTGCTAGTAAGATTGCACCTAAATCAACCATTTATCGGATCATCAAGAACTTCAAGGAGAGAGGTTCAATTGTTGTGAAGAAGGCGTCAGGGATCGGGGCACCACCAGTGCAGAGCTTGCTCAGGAATGGCAGCAGGCAGGTGTGAGTGCATCTGCACGCACAGTGAGGCGAAGACTTTTGGAGGATGGCCTGGTGTCAAGAAGGGCAGCAAAGAAGCCAATTCTCTTCAGGAAAAACATCAGGGACAGACTGATATTCTGCAAAAGGTACAGGGATTGGACTGCTGAGGACTGGGGTAACGTAATTTTCTCTGATGAATCCCCTTTCCGATTGTTTGGGGCATCCGGAAAACACCATGTCCGGAGAAGACAAGGTGAGCGCTACCATCAGTCCTGTGTCATGCCAACAGTAAAGCATCCTGAGACCATTCATGTGTGGGGTTGCTTCTCAGCCAAGGGAGTGGGCTCACTCACAATTTTGCCTAAGAACACAGCCATGAATAAAGAATGGTACCAACACATCCTCAGAGAGCAACTTCTTCCAACCATCCAAGAACAGTTTGGTGACGACAAATGCCAGGCCCCCCTCCTCAGTCTACAGTATACTCCTAAGGACCCCCCCCCCCCCCCCCCCCCTCCCTCCCTCCCTCCCTCCCTCCCTCCCTCCCTCAGACTACAGTATACTCCTCAGAGACCCCCTCCTCAGTCTACAGTATACTCCTAAGGACACCCCCCCCCCCCCCCCCCCACAGTCACACTGTGACCTACACATATTGAGTCGATTAAAAGCATCTCGACATTAAAGAACCACATGAGTCTGGTTCTACAGCCATGCATGTTACATAGAGAAACAGAAACAGTGACAGTGGGGTTAGCAACACAAACATCTCATCCCTCATAGTAAAAAAATGTTGTTAATGTATGTCAGCAAAAGCCCCCTAAAACAGGGGACTTTTCTGTCTGTTTTATTTCATTTAAAACTCCGGTCTGTCCCTCTCTGAGATAGGCGCTCCAGCATTAGCATAACCAGGCTTAGAGAGCTCAGACAGCCTATATAGTCCAGCATCTAGACTGGTGGGTGGTGAAGACCCACGTAGCGATACATCTTTTCTCAACCCCACCTTATACATTTTTTTTTTTTATAATGACTTAAATTCAACCTCACACCTCTGTTTAATTAAAAACCTGTCCAGCATTTCTCTAGCCTGGTTGCCGTCTCTATTTAACTATATTACATTCCACTCCTTGCCAAAGATTTGGCAAATTGTCAGGAGTGGCAAGAAGTGGAATGTTAGCTAAAAAGACTGGTACCCAGACTAGTATTTGTCTATGTTTAGGTCCAGTCCTGAAGGTGCAGCCAGCCGGCAGTGGGTTGGGTTTCTCTTCAGCAGGTTAGCAGGAAGGGAGCTGTAGAGCTGCTCCAGCCAGGTTGTTGTGCAGAGCATCTTCCATCTTCTTTCATTCACCCTCCCTCTGCATTCTCCTCCATATTGTCATGTTGGTCTGCTTCCATTATATCAAGGCTGCATACTGTGCCTATTCGCTGCGATCGACCTCTGAACAGAATTGGGGAAAAAGTAGATCAGTTTTTCAATTGAAACGTTTGAAAATCCCTAAAACCTGAATATAGCAGTTAGTCAGCGATCAATGTTTACCTTCTTTATCTGCCTGAGGCACTTCACCATCAGCTAAGCTGGTGGTCAGATGTCAATGGAATATGCAAACTTCTGAAACATGGTCGACTAAAGCAGTTTCTACACTGTGCAATAAAACAACCATCAGTTAGGTGGATTGCTAGAATAACAAACAAACAGGGTTGGGCCTCCCTTGTCTAGGTGTTAGGGGCCTGTGGATTGTAGGGTGGGGTTCATCTATGGGATGACCTCTAACCTGGTGAGCTGTAGGAGTGTGTCACTGCTGGGGGAGACGGTGGTTGGGCGTGGTCCTCTTGGCCCAGGCGTTCTCCTTGGGGGGTGGGGCGAGCACCACCTTAAGGGGCGAGACGTCCTGTCTGGGAGGGGAGGGCTGGGTCACAGGGGAGGATGGCTCCTCTTCACGACCACTGTCCACCGAGCGCTCGCTCTCCCTGCGCTTGGAGGCTGGGAATGGGACAGGAAGAAGAATAATTTTTTTTGTACACTTTGTTGTCCTATGTCTACAAATGTCCAACAGGAAATAAGTGTTCTGCTTTTATGCCAACCCTGGGAAAGGAGCCTGCTTAAACCACAACATTACCCTCTGAAGGTGTCTAACTGACTACAGTACTGATATCATGGCTGACTCAATTACCCATCATAGCCACTAAACTGCTTACCTCTGCCAGACTGGCAATAGCTGCCTGGTTGGGAAGACTCACTGCCAGTCCGAGAGCGTCCTGCAGGTTGGTCCTCACTGCGCCAGCTGGGGTGCCTGAGGGATGGCCAGGATCAATGAGTCAAAGATAACATACTATATATGAAGTTTATTCTACAGACATACTCCATTTCCTCATGTTAGCCTATGCTGTTCTTCACTTTCGTAACATACCTCTCTCTGGGCTTGCGGTCTGGGATTCTGTCCTCTAGCTGTCGCTGCAGTTTTTCCTGTTCCCTCTTCAGCCTCTCCTCCACTTCTCTCTCCTTGGCAGCTGTGTCCACTGGCTTGGCCCCGCCGAAGATGGAGGCAGCCCTGCCCGAGGGGGCAGACGGGGCGCTGCTCTGCTCCACCTCTTTAGGTACGCTACGGGGTTTCAGGATCAACTTGGGCCTCTCGACAGCACCTGGGTATGACCATAGAGGAGAGAAAAAGGAGAGAGGTTTTAAGGTACACCCTGGTACTGTGCAGGTGTGACTGGCCCAGTGGACATTAAGTTTGAAACTTTCTCACCTCTATCACCACGGCTTTCCTCCCGTCTCTCGTATCGGTCACCACCACGGTCACCATAGCGATCCCCACTACCCCGGTAGTCATCCCGTCTGTAGCTATCCTGGCCGGTAGCTATCCGGTCCTCCCTCATCACGCCTGTAACCAGTGCAAAATGCCCTGCGACCACCACCACCACCACCACCGCCACCACCACCACCACCACCACCACCACCACCACCACCACCGCTGCGACAGTCAAAACTACCTGAGGGAAGCGGCAAAAATACAATATTAGTCACACTAAGACAATTTGTTTTTTTAATTGTTTTTCTACAGGACTTCACAAACAACATAACACAAAAACACAACACCCACTATACAAAACATTATTTCATGTGATCAACATATATTTTCCAAAGTTAGTCAAATATTTTCAAGTTTTGTTTAACATTATAATATACCAAATCTAAAAAGGGATGTTACTAGATCAATCCTCCAGTTTGGTATTGATGGTGAGCATGAGGCTTTCCAATTGATGGCTATACATTGTTTTGCAGCAATTACACCTAGATGATAAAACTTTAACTGATATTGATCACCAATATTTACATTTCCCAACAGTCATAATCGTGGAAATGGATGGAAATAAATTCCTAGACACAATGAAATGATAACACATACAGTACCAGTTTGGACACACCTACTCATTCAAGGATCTGTCTTTATTTTTACTATTTTCTATATTGTAGAATAATAGTGAAGACATCAAAACTATGAAATAACACATATGGAATCATGTAGTAGCCAAAAAAGTGTTAAACAAATCAAAATCTATTTTATAATTGAGATTCTTGAAATAGCCACCCTTTGCCTTGATGACAGCTTTGATGACACTCTTGGCATTCTCTCAACCAGCTTCACCTGGAATGCTTTTCCAACAGTCTTGAAGGAGTTCCCACATATGCTGAGCACTTGTTGGCTGCTTTTCCTTCACTCTGCGGTCCAACTCATCCCAAACCATCTCAATTGGGTTGAGGTCGGGGGATTGTGGAGGCCAGGTCATCTGATGCAGCACTCCATCACTCTCCTCCTTGGTTGAAATAGCACTTACACAGCCTGGAGGTGTGTTGGGTCATTGTCCTGTTGAAAAACAAATGATAGTCCCACTAAGCCCAAACCAGATGGGATGGCGTATTGCTGCAGAATGCTGTGGTAGCCATGCTGGCTAAGCGCGACTTGAATTCTAAATCAATCACAGACAGTGTCACCAGCAAAGCATCCCCACACCATAATACCTCCTCCTCCATGCTTTATGGTGGGAAATACACATGCGAAGATCATACGTTCACCCACACCGCGTCTCACAAAGATACGGCGGTTGGAACCAAAAATCTCAAATTTGAACTCCACTGGTCTAATGTCCATCGCTTGAGTTTCTTGGCCCAAGCAAGTCTCTTCTTATTATTGGTGTCCTTTAGTAGTGGTTTATTTGCAGCAATTTAACCATGAAGGCCTGATTCACACAGTCTCCTCTGAACAGTTGATGTTGAGATGTGTCTGTTACTTTAACTCTGTGAAGCATTTATTTGGGCTGCAATTTCTGAGGCTGGTAACTCTAATGAACTTATCCTCTGCAGCAGAGGTAACTCTGGGTCTTCCATTCCTGTGGCGGTCCTCATGAGTGCCAGTTTCATCATAGTGCTTGATGGTTTTTGCTTTCAAAGTTCTTGAAATGTTCCAGATTGACTGACCTTCATGTCTTAAAGTAATGATGGACTGTCGTTTCTCTTTGCTTATTTGAGCTGTTCTTGCCATAATATGGACCTGGTCTTTCACCAAATAGGGCTATTTTCTGTATAACCCCCTACCTTGTCACAACACAACTGATTGGCATTAAGAAGGAAATAAATTCCACAAATTCCCTTTAAAGAAGGCACACCTGTTAATTGAAATGCATTCCAGGTGACTACCTCATGAAGCTGGTTGAGAGAATGCCAAGCGTGTGCAACGCTGTCATCAAGGCAAAGGGTGGCTATTTTGAAGAATCTCAAACATAAAATATATTTGATTTGTTTAACACTTTTTTGGTTAGTACATGATTCCATATGTGTTATTTCATTGTTTTGACGTCTTCACTATTATTCTACAATGTAGAAAATAGTAAAAATAAAGAAAAACCCTGGAATGAGTAGGTGTGTCCAAACTTTTGACTGGTAGTGTACATGGACCACCACATGTAATAGGGTTCCTTTGGGCCCACAGAGATGTAAACATTTCTGGGTGCATTCTGGCAGGAATGTAGTAAGTCCTATGAATTGTCTTAAATTGCAGTAGTTTATGTCTTAGGTTGTAGGAGCACGTATTAACATTTTCACTTATCTGTTACAAATGGTTCTCCTCAATTTCTTCCTTTAGATCTGTTTCCCATTTTTTCCTTCTAGGTTCTGAACTCGGGTAGAGTTTTAATCAACCCTTGATATAACTTGGCAATTTGCTTATTTTAGTATTTTTTTATATGCTAGATGCCTTTGGTTCATCCAGTCTGAATAAGATTTCTGAGTTGTAAGAACTTAAAACAAAATCGGCCTTGGATAATCCAAATCTTTCTTGTAATTGATTGAATGACAGTAGAGATCCGTCATAGTACACATGCTCAAAATTCATAATGCCACTTTGGAACCAGGACTTAAAGGTGTTGTCATTTAACACTGGAGGTAAGGTTGGGTTATTCCAAATAGCCTGGTGATATTGGCTCTATCCACATCATGAATTTATGTACGTTTTCCCAAACACAAACGGAATTGAGAATCATTGGATTGTCCGTTTTTTTCTTCAGCACCTTGGATCTGAAGTAGTGAATATATTTTAGATCATTAAGCATTACATTTATGGCTTCGGTACTCCTCCATGCACAAGGATAGTCTACTGTCCATTGTTTAAGTTGAACACAGTTGTGCAGCCCAGTAATACATCTTCATATGAGGTAGTCCCAGACTTCCAGCTTTATAGGGGAAGGGGAAAGCAGTCGATTTGACTCAAGGTTTTTCCATTCCAAATATAGTTGGAGAGTAGGCCATGTATTTTATAAAAAAGGTTGGATGGAATTGAAATGGTCAGGGCCTGGAATAAATACACCAACCTTGGTAATATGTTCGTTTTGATTATGTTAACCCTACCTAACATAGAGATATTCAACATCGGATTCAATCCTATCTATTAAACGAGAGTAACTGATTTTATATGGTTCCTCCAGATTGCATGGCATCAGTACACCCAGGTATTTCATGTGTCTTTGTCCATTTCCACTTAAATGTCCTTTCTAAGCTTGAGAAGTCATTTCAATTTGACTCCTAATACAGTATGTGTCCAACAGTAGTCAAATAAATGACTAGTTCAGATAAATAAAGTAAAATGTAATCTGCATACAATGATATCACATGTTGATCTCTACCAATCTCTAAAGAAAATAAAGAACTAAACAAAGGACATCCCTGTCTGGTCCCTCTTGATAACTTAAACGATTCAGAGATCTGCCCATTTGTTCATATACATGCTTTGTACAATAGCTCAATCCAGGAAATAAATACCGGACCAAAACCATACTGTTTTAAGACAGACACCAAATATGCCCATGCCACCCCATCGAATGCTTTTTTAGCATCTATTGATACTGCCACTTTTGGAGCAATCAAGTTCTTGGTATGATGGATTATACAGGGCTCTACAGTGTGACCATTTTACTCGCATATGTGCCTAAATATTTTGTTGTGCGACCTGGAATTTTAATTTAGGTGCGCCTAGAAAAATTAAGGATTCTAACTTTATTTCCTCAAACATTTATAATTTTGCTCCTAAAAAAATGTCAGCGCAGAGCTCTATTATATTGAAAAAATGGCGCCGATTGTCTGTAGACATTCTGTTCCTTATAAACCCTGTTTGATCTGAGGAAATCAACTTTTTTATTACTATTTCTACGCGAAAAGCCAATACCTTAGCAATGGTTTTGTAATACACAATCAAGAGCGATACGGGGCGGAAATATCTGCATGACAATGGATCCTTATCTTTCTTTTTAAGTAGAATGATTGTAGCCAAACATAGTGACTGGGGAACTTCACTAAGACTTCTCACTAAAATGCAGAATGTGTACAGGTGTAGTAGCCTAAGACCAGGTATTCCAACTGACCTCCTCTGTCATCTCTGCGATCCCTGTCGTCATATCGATCCCTGTACCTGTCCTGGCCCCCTCCGTAGCGGTTATCTCCTCTGGACCGGTCTGACTCGTAGCGGTTATCTCCTCTGGACCGGTCTGACTCGTAGCGGTTATCTCCTCTGGACCGGTCTGACTCGTAGCGGTTATCTCCTCTGGACCGGTCTGACTCGTAGCAGTTATCTCCTCTGGACCGGTCTGACTCGTAGCGGTCCCGTGACCCTGGAGCAAACAGCAGACAGAGGGGTTAGGGGTCTCTCGTCACCCATAGAAGACCCGTTTCAGACCTGTACTGTACCAGTGGTGTGAAGTACTTAAGTAAAAATACTACTTACGTATTTTTTTCGGTATCTGTACTTTACTATTTATATTGATGACGACTTTTACTCCACTACATTCCTAAAGAAAATAATACACTTTTTACTCCATACATTTTCCCTGACACCCAAAAGTACATTTTGAATGCTTAGCAGGACAGGAAAATGGTCCAATTCACACACTTATCAAGAGAACACCCCTCATCATCTTAAGTACATTTAAAACCAAATACTTTTAGATTTATATTTTAGTCATTTAGCAGACGCTCTTATCCAGAGCGACTTACAGGAGCAATTAGGGTTAAGTGCCTTGCTCAAGGGCACATCGACAGATTTTTCACCTAGTCGGCTTGGGGATTAGAACCAGCAACCTTTCGGTTACTGGCACAATGTTCTTAACCACTAAGCTACCTGCCGCCCCAGACTTTTACTCAAGTAGTATTTTACTGGGTGACTTTCACTTGAGTCATTTTCTATTAAGGTATCTTTACTTTTACTCAAGTATGACAAATTGGGTAATATTTCCACCACTGTACTGTACTTACGGTCTCCAAAGGCGTCATCTCTCTGAGGAGGCCCGTCGTCACTCTGTCCTCCACTGGGCCGCGGTGCCCTCCAGTCAGAGTCTGTCCTGTCTGGGCCAAAGTCTCCCCCCCGGTCACGGTCCCGACCCCCCATGGAGTGATTATCCCTCCCTGAGAGAGACACATAGACGAGTCAGAAATAACGTGGAGACAAACTCTTCAGAATCAAGTTAATCTGAACTGCGCAAGTGTATTTAGAATGACATTACGTGGTACTGTAGCTACACATATAACATCTAAAGGAAAATGCGGCTGCTGTTCATGCTCCCAAGATTTTTTGTCTCACCTGTCCGTATATTGCTGTGGTGCTCACTGATCCGGGTCTTAGAGCTTCTGCAGGTTTCCCCTATGGAGGACAGACCACAGGGATATTTCAACATGTAAACAACATTGGTGGACATGCAGGTAATAAGGCCTTTTATCTTAAATGTCTGTCCTGTGTGGGGGTGGTTGAATGAGTCACATTTATACCTGAAACTACATTTAGGACATTGGCCACATTTGTAAATCCCCTCCGGGACCTCGTCCAAGAAGGTTTCCCTTTTCTCTGGGGGGGGGGGTAATCAGATTTGACATGATCTCTCAGATCTCTCATGTTTGGGGGGTCTTTTAAAAACAATCCGTGGGGGATGTTTAAAGATGGGTTTCAGTTGAGGGTCAGTGTCAACAATGTACCAGTGTTTCGTTAAAATATCCTTAAAATGGCTTCCCCAAGGGTGAGTATTGGGCGAAGGATGCGTTCTGCTTTTTCTTTGGTTGAAGGCTTTCCAACTGTGTTAGCCTTTCAAAACGATCATTGGCATGTTTTACCCAATTGTCTTTATACCCCCTTTCCTTAAACCTCTGTGTGAGGTCCGTGGTCTGTTTCTGGTAAGAAGCATCCGAGTTACATACATTACCCTTCTAATGCGGCTGAAATGATTTACAGGGAGTCTTTTAATGAGTGGACATGGATGGAAGCTGTCACATCTAAGGAGGGTGTTCCTGTCCGTAGGTAATCAAATTCAGCTTCATTAAAAGGATATGTAGCTCGGATGCTTCTTACCAGAAACAGACCACGGACCTCACACAGAGGTTTAAGGAAAGGGGGTATAAAGACAATTGGGTAAAACATGCCAATACTCACCATTGAGGAAGCCATTTAAGGACATTATCAGGAAGCACTTGTACATTGTAGACACCGACCCACAACTGAAACCCATCTTTAAACATCCCCCACGGATGGTTTTTAAAAGACCCCCAAACGTGACAGACATTGTGGTCAAATCTGATTACACACCAGATAAAAGGGAAGGTCCCGGAGGGGAATTACAAATGTGGCCAATGTACTCGATGCAGTTTCACATATAAATGTGACTCAATCATTCACCCACCCATGCACAGGAAAAACATTTCAGATCAAAGGCATGATTTACCTGCATGTCCACCAATGTTGTTTACATGTTGAAATGTCCCATGCACTGTCTTACATAGGGAAAACCCGCAGAAGCCTTAAGACCCGGATTAGTGAGCACCACAGCAATATACGGACAGGTGAGACATTGCTGTTCATTTTGCACAAGCTGGACATCCTATTAGTTCTCTGAGACATATTGGAATAGAAACAGTAAAGATGTGATGCAAGGGAGGGGACATTGAGAGGAAACTTCTTCAAAGGGAATATTTCTGGATCCACATGTATGTATGCATGTACAGTGGCTTGCGAAAGTATTCACCCCCCTTGGCATTTTTCTATTTAGTTGCCTTACAACCTGGAATTAAAATGGATTTTGGGGGGGTTTGTATAATTTGATTTACACAACATGCCTACCACTTTGAAGATGTAATTTTTTTTGTGTGTGTGAAACAAACAAGAAATAAGACAAAGAAACAGAAAACTTGCGCGTGCATAACTATTCACCCCCCCAAAGTCAATACTTTGTAGAGCCACCTTTTGCAGCAATTACAGCTGCAAGTCTCTTGGGGTATGTCCTATATGCTTGGCACATCTAGCCACTGGGATTTGTGCCCATTCTTCAAGGCAAAACTCCTCCAGCTCCTTCAAGTTGGATGGGTTCCGCTGGTGTACAGCAATCTTTAAGTCATACCACAGATTCTCAATTGGATTGAAGTCTGGGCTTTGACTAGGCCATTCCAAGACATTGAAATGTTTCCCCTTAAACCACTCAAGTGTTGCTTTAGCAATATGTTTAGGGTCATTGTCCTGCTGGAAGGTGAACCTCCGTCCCAGTCTCAAATCTGTGGAAGACTGAAACAGGTTTCCCTCAAGAATTTCCCTGTATTTAGCGCCATCCATCATTCCTTCAATTCTGACCAGTTTCCTAGTCCCTGCCGATGAAAAACATCCCCACAGCATGATGCCGCCACCACCATGCTTCACTGTGGGGATGGTGTTCTCGGGGTGATGAGAGGTGTTGGGTTTGTGCCAGACATAGCGTTTTCCTTGATGGCCAAAAAGCTCAATTTTAGTCTCATCTGACCAGAGTACCTTCTTCCATATGTTTGGGGAGTCTCCCACATGCCTTTTGGCGAACACCAAACGTGTTTGCTTATTTTGTTCTTTAAGTAAGGGCTTTTTTTCTGGCCACTCTTCCATAAAGCCCAGCTCTGTGGAGTGTATGGCTTAAAGTGGTCCTATGGACAGATACTCCAATCTCCGCTGTGGAGCTTTGCAGCTCCTTCAGGGTTATCTTTTGTCTCTTTGTTGCCTCTCTGATTAATTCCCTCCTTGCCTGGTCCGTGAGTTTTGGTGGGCGGCCCTCTCTTGGCAGGTTTGTTGTGGTGCCATATTCTTTACATTTTTTAATAATGTACTTAATGGTGCTCCGTGGGATGTTCAAAGTGTCAGATATTTTTTTATAACCCAACCCTGATCTGTACTTCTCCACAACTTTGTCCCTGACCTGTTTGGAGAGCTCCTTGGTCTTCATGGTGCCGCTTGCTTGGTGGTGCCCCTTGCTTAGTGGTGTTGCAGACTCTGGGGCCTTTCAGATCTGTCACTGAGATCATGTGACAGATCATGTGACACTTAGATTGCACACAGGTGGACTTTATTTAATTAATTATGTGACTTCTGAAGGTAATTGGTTGCACCAGATCTTATTTAGGGGCTTCATAGCAAAGGGGGTGAATACATATGCACGCACAACTTTTCCGTTATTTATTTCTTAGAATTTTTTGAAACAAGTTATTTTTTTCATTTCACTTCACCAATTTGGACTATTTTGTGTATGTTCATTACATGAAATCCAAATAAAAATCTATTTAAATGACAGGTTGTAATGCAACAAAATAGGAAAAAACGCCAAGGGGGATGAATACTTTTGCAAGGCACTGTGTATATATACAGTGGGGAAAAAAAGTATTTAGTCAGCCACCAATTGTGCAAGTTCTCCCACTTAAAAAGATGAGAGAGGCCTGTAATTTTCATCATAGGTACACGTCAACTATGACAGACAAATGGATACTTTTTTTTCCAGAAAATCACATTGTAGGATTTTTAATGAATTTATTTGCAAATTATGGTGGAAAATAAGTATTTGGTCACCTACAAACAAGCAAGATTTCTGGCTCTCACAGACCTGTAAATTCTTATTGAAGAGGCTCCTCTGTCCTCCACTCGTTACCTGTATTAATGGCACCTGTTTGAACTTGTTATCAGTATAAAAGACACCTGTCCACAACCTCAAACAGTCACACTCCAAACTCCACTATGGCCAAGACCAAAGAGCTGTCAAAGGACACCAGAAACAAAATTGTAGACCTGCACCAGGCTGGGAAGACTAAATCTGCAATAGGTAAGCAGCTTGGTTTGAAGAAATCAACTGTGGGAGCAATTATTAGGAAATGGAAGACATACAAGACCACTGATAATCTCCCTCGATCTGGGGCTCCACGCAAGATCTCACCCCGTGGGGTCAAAATGATCACAAGAACGGTGAGCAAAAATCACAGAACCACACGGGGGGACCTAGTGAATGACCTGCAGAGAGCTGGGACCAAAGTAACAAAGCCTACCATCAGTAACACACTACGCCGCCAGGGACTCAAATCCTGCAGTGCAAGACGTGTCCCCCTGCTTAAGCCAGTACATGTCCAGGCCCGTCTGAAGTTTGCTAGAGTGCATTTGGATGATCCAGAAGAGGATTGGGAGAATGTCATATGGTCAGATGAAACCAAAATAGAACTCTTTGGTAAAAACTCAACTCGTCGTGTTTGGAGGACAAAGAATGCTGAGTTGCATCCAAAGAACACCATACCTACTGTGAAGCATGGGGGTGGAAACATCATGCTTTGGGGCTGTTTTTCTGCAAAGGGACCAGGACAACTGATCCGTGTAAAGGAAAGAATGAATGGGGCCATGTATCGTGAGATTTTGAGTGAAAACCTTCTTCCATCAGCAAGGGCATTGAAGACGAAACGTGGCTGGGTCTTTGAGCATGAGAATGATGCCAAACACACCGCCCGGGCAACGAAGGAGTGGCTTCGTAAGAAGCATTTCAAGGTCCTGGAGTGGCCTAGCCAGTCTCCAGATCTCAACCCCATAGAACATCTTTGGAGGGAGTTGAAAGTCCATGTTGCCCAGCGACAGCCCCAAAACATCACTGCTCTAGAGGAGATCTGCATGGAGGAATGGGCCAAAATACCAGCAACAGTGTGTGAAAACCTTGTGAAGACTTACAGAAAACGTTTGACCTGTGTCATTGCCAACAAAGGGTATATAACAAAGTATTGAGAAACTTCTGTTATTGACCAAATACTTATTTTCCACCATAATTTGCAAATAAATTCATTAAAAATCCTACAATGTGATTTTCTGGATTTTTTTTTCTCATTTTGTCTGTCATAGTTGACGTGTACCTATGATGAAAATTACAGGCCTCTCTCATCTTTTTAAGTGGGAGAACTTGCACAATTGGTGGCTGACTAAATACTTTTTTTCCCCACTGTATATAACAATCAAAGGATCAGAGGATAAATCTTTTATTTTTTATTTTTACTGTAAATATTTATCTATTGCCAATATACCACGGCTAAGGGCTGTTCTTAGGCAAGACGCAACGCGGAGTGCCTGGATACAGCCCTTAGCGGTGGCATATTGGCCATATACCACAAACACCTGAGGTGCCTTACTGCTATTATAAACTGGTTACCAACCTAATTAGAACAGTAAAAAGTAACTTTTTGTCATACCCATGGTATACGGTCTGATATACCATGGCTTTCAGCCAATCAGCATTCAGGGCTCAAACCACCCGGTTTATAATTTGATGTATACTATGGCATAATACCATACTTCTTTCTGATTGGCTTGAAGGACATTCTAGAGCGTGCATTATTTCCCTATAACGCAAGGTATATTTGCACCAGTGGCGGTCGGTGCCGTTTAAGATGAGGGATGACTTTCTTTTTCTTAATGAGCATGGCCTTATTTCTATTACAGCATATTGGATGACTGTCATCCATATTCCATTCACCCAGTTCAATGTAACATCGATAGGTTTAGGCTACTACATGAATTTTACCTATACCCATCATGAGGTTGCTACAACCTAGCCTATGAATGAAAGTTTACAACGTAGGTGCACACAGGTGAGATAAAAATGTGAGTTGACAAACAGTGACACATGGACAGACAGTGACACGTTTAATACCGCCTTGCACACTCTTGCCTGCATCTAGCTGATCTAGGGTGTAATCATTAGTCCAACAGTTGCAAACAAGAGTTTCTATTAGACAAATTCAGGTATGTTTATCCCTGTTTCGTTCCGTTTAAGAAACTTTTTTCAACAGAATCGGCGGCATGAATACACCCTGGATCACGCGTAAACACAGCTGACTTTCATAGCAGCCAGCATCTATGCGCTCTCCTCCTCTCACCTTTTCCTTTCGCTTGTGAACTTCAATGCACAAAACACCAGGCGAAAAAACCTTTCCAAGCCAACCCATATCATAACCGCTTACACACAGCCTACATCGTTGTCCCCATATTAGCTAAAGTAACGTCTTAGTCAACATAGCTAATAGAACTAACGTGTTAGTAAACCCGCTACAATTATGCAGTAACGTTACAGTGTACAGTCAGTAAGCAGTTTAGCACTTACACAGGCGGGCCCCGGTGGCAATAAATTAGTAAAACCAAAAGCTTACCTTGACTTGGAAGAGTTCCAGGGTTGTGTTGGATAGTCATAGCCAGCTAGCTAACATAGCATCCCTCGGTTTGAGAAGGGTGTTTGAGTAGGCTAAACTAGCAAGCTGCATTTGCTAGCTAAGTAAGTAGCTAAGTGAAACTGAAAGTGAAAAAAAATGATGCAATCTCTCTCTCTTCTCCTTCATTTTGGAAGAAATTAATTTGTTCAAACTGTTCAACTATTGTCTTTCTCTCTCTGAGTCAACTACTCACCACATTTTATGCACTGCAATGCTAGCTATCTGTAGCTTATGCTTTCAGTACTAGATTTATCCTCTGATCCTTTGATTGTGTGGACAACATGTCAGTTCATGCTGCAAGAGCTCTGATAGGTTGGAGGAAGTCATAATTACTGTGTAAGTCTATTGAAGGGGGTTAGAACCATGAGCCTCCTAGGTTTTGTATTGAAGTCAATGTACCCAGAGGAGGACGGAAGCTAGCTGTCCTCCGGCTACACCATGGTGATACCCTACAGAGTGCTGTTGAGGCTACTGTAGACCTTCCTTGCAAAACAGTGTGTATTAATCAATTATTTGGTGACGTGAATATATTTAGCATAGTTTTATTTTAAAAGGATACATTTTTTAATGTTTTACAATTGTTATTAAATTCACTGACGAGGATGGTCCACTCCTTCTTCCTCTGAGGAGCCTCTATTGATTTGCACGGTAGAATTCAATGGCTTTAGTTCATTTTTACATGTTTTGTTTGAGCTACTTTTGAAAGCAAAAGTCAAATTGAAAACAGCTGAACAGCATTGTGCAGCGTTTTCCTTTAAATTTTTTGTGAGTTCACCTATAACTCCAGCACCTGCAAAAAAGTTCCTGGATGTGCGTGTATTCTTCAGCTTTTGTACTGCAGCTACACAAACATAAGATTCACACCTTTGTCATTAGACTGATCTGCAATGTCCACAAGGATCCTTCTGTTTCCCAAGTTCTGCATGGAGGAAGAGGAAACATTTTTTTTTTTAAACGAATGGATGACGTGCCAATCTAGTGGCTAAACCTATTAACTAGTGTTTTCACCATCCAGCGGCTAAACCTATTGAATGGTGTTTTCACCATCCAGCGGCTAAACCTATTGAATGGTGTTTTTATTGAGTATTTTCCTTGTAGCTCTCGTTGTAAAATGGACTAACCTCTTCGTTAAGACTCAAGGCACTCAGGAGGGATTCCACATCATCAAACTCAGCATAGCCAAAACCCTTCAGCCTCTCTGGGTTACTGGGCTCTCTAGGAAGACGCACTGCACTGATCTACACACACACACACACACAGACAGACAGACAAAGAGACAGGGTCAAACAAAGATACAGTATGTCTGGGTTGGATGAACAAATACTAGCAGCAACTTGGCAAATACTTTATAACAGGGGTATTTAATTCTTACCCTACGAGGTCCGGACTACTGCTGGTTTTCTGTTCTGCCTGATAATTAATTGCACCCACCTGGTGTCCCAGGTCTAAGTCAGTCCCTGATTAGAGGGGAACAATGGAAAAAAAGCAGTGGAACTGGCTCATGGTCCAGATTTGAGTTTGAGGGCTTTATAATATAATAATGTATGCCATTTAGCAGATGCTTTTATCCAAAGCTCTTACAGTCATGCGTGCATACATTTTACGCCCTGGGAATCGAACCCACTACTCTGGAGTTGCGAGCGCAATGCTCTACCAACTGAGCTGCAGAGGAATTAACTGTGTAACAACAACAGATTTAGGCCTAACTGTTATGTTTTGTGTAGGGCCAAAAATGCACTAGAGTTGAAGTGCACTTACCCCCACACCTCTGAAGAAGTCCTTGATGGAGTCCTCAGTCACGTCGTAGGGCAAGTTGCCCAGGAAGGCGGTGTAAGGGGGACCGCGGGGAATACGAGAGCGGTCAACGTTTGGCTCCCGGGCTGAACGGGGCGCTGTGGGCAGGATGGAGCGGTCGATGGCTGGGGCCCGGTACATATCCTCCTCTGTATGCCAGGAGGTGGATACTGGAGGGATGAGAGGGGAGAGAAATTAGAGGGATTGGCGGTTAAAGGGTCAATCTACGATTTGAACATTATTTTTTTTTACTTTCAAATTAATAATATACAGTGCCTTCAGAAAGTATTCACACCCCTTGACTTTTTGTTGTGCCTGAATTAAAAATGTATTAAATTCAGATTTTGGGTCACTGGCCTACACACAATACCCCTTAATGTCAAAGTGGAATTATGTTTTTAGAAATGTTTACAAATTAATTACAAATTAAAAGCTGAAATATGTTGAGTCAATAAGTATTCAACCCCTTTGTTATGACAAGTCTAAATAAGTTCAGAAGTAAAAATGTGCTTAACAAGATACATAATAAGTTGCATGGACTCCCTCTGTGTGTAATAATAGTGTTTAACATGATTTTTGAATGACTACCTCATCTCTGTACCCCACACATACAATTATCTGTCAGGTCCCTCAGTCGAGCAGTGAATTTCAAACACAGATTCAACCACAAAGACCAGGGAGGTTTTCCAATGCCTCGCAAAGAAGGGCACCTATTGGTAGATGGGTAAAAAAAAAAAAACATGCAGACATTGAATATCCCTTTGAGCATGGTTAAGTTATTAATTACACTTTGGATGGTGTATCAATACACCCAGTCACTACAAACATACAGGCGTCCTTCATAAATCAGTTGCCGGAGAGGAAGGAAACTGCTCAGGGATTTCACCATGAGGCCAATGGTGACTTTTAAACAGTTACAGAGTTTAATGGCTGTCATAGGAGAAAACTGAGGAGGGATCAACAACATTGTAGTTACTCCACAATACTAACCTAAATGACAGAGTGAAAAGAACAAAGCCTGTACAGAATACAAATATTCCAAAACATGCATCATGTTTGCAATAAAGTAAAACTGCAAAAAATGTGGCAAAGAAATTAACTTTATTTTCTGAATACAAAGCGTTATGTTTCGGCAAATCCAACACAACACATAACTGAGTACCACTCTTCATTTTTCAAGCATGGTGGTGGCTGCATCATGTTATGGGTATGCTTGTCATCGGCAAAGACTAGGGAGTTATTTTGGGGGGGATAAAAAGAAACGGAATAGAGCTTGGCACAGGCAAAATCCTAGAGGAAAACCTGGTTCAGTCTACTTTCCAACAGACACTGGGAGACAAATTCACCTTACAGCAGGACAATAACCTTAAACAGAAGGCCAGATATACACTGGAGTTGCTTACCAAGTCAACATTGAATGTTCCTGAGTGGCCTAGTTACAGTTTCCACTTTTACTCCAATTGTTTGTAAACAAACACTGTATAGCCTCAAAACATGGTTGAAAGTATAATTTTGATCACATGGATGATGAGTCCTTGCATCCATAGCTCTGTCTATGAATTTGAGAGTGGTTACATTTATCCAGCCCCATCCCTCAGCTAGTTACCATAAACAGTGGCGGGGGTCTCAATTTTTGTCATTGTTTGTACTGCAGATTTCGCCTTTAAGATCATGCTACCTGGGTATGTATGAATCCTTACGATAAGATGTGTCAGATCTGTTCTAGACACGTTGACTATGAATACCAAAACACAGGTGCACTGACACCAGAGGTGAATGTTACAGAACAGGATTGGGCCTACATGAGTTACAGCAGCCAAATCTTTAAAACATTTATCCTGGTTGAGAAGACTCAACGTATAGGCCTAGGCAGGAGAAAAATAACTATGGTGAAGAATCTCACCCTCTGTTTCCAGGTCATCCATCTCGTCGGCCCAGCTGCTAGTGGGCTTGGTGGGGGGGTCACTTGCATTACCCCCCTTATCCTCTGCCAGGAAGTTAGTCAGGGATAGGGTCTTCAACTTCTTATTCCCCTTCTTCTTAGCTGCTGTGAGGAGGAGAGGATGACATTTTATCATGGTCAAACAGCTCTTTGGCAAGTCTCTGACAAGACTCACTGTGACGGGAAAATGTTTTTTCTGCTACCAGAGTGCCTGTTTCAGAGCCTGAAAACAGAACTAATGCAACCTAGGCCTAATGCATCATTTGCACACACACACACACACACACAGTGACACACAGACACACACACACACAAACACACACACACAGTGACACACACACACACACACACACACACACACACACACACACACACACACACATACCTCCTGGTTAAACTGCCAAAGCCTTACCACAGACTTTTTAAACCCAGAGGCCAACATCACGAGACTTCCGGGAACGCTTGTGAAACAGACCAAACAGGGGTTTGGGGTTTGAGAAGTGAAAATTAACCACCAAGAAATAATTTTCCTCTAAATCTAAAGGCACAACCTAGATTCGAGCCAATGTCTTAAATAGTTGAACATGTTATTAATCCAACCTCGTGAAAGTGACGAACTGACACGTTTTAATTTTTGTCAAAAACAACTTTATTTTGAAGGAGTGCCTTTGAGTTGACGGCCTGCACATGCGCAGTTCGGCGCTAGACCCAATTACGCGTTTCCACGCATGAATTTAGCTAGCCAACATCGCCATGACGTTTTTCTTTTTACGCCTACAAGTGTGATCGGGGATTTCTATTGGAGAAGCTGATTTAGCATATCTTCATACTGTCTTTGGCCTTACTGTGCTGGCTTCGATATTTTCTTTTTACACTGTCCTTTCCAATATGATTCCAGCAACAATGGTGGAAGGGTAACCAGGCCATCCCAGTACAACTCGGCTTGGCTTGCTTTTGGGCCAAGGGGGTGAATCACCAAAAGTGTTTGGGTATGTTGCGCTGGATCGATGGTCCCTTAGCAGTGAGGCAGGTGACGGGAAATAATAAGCCTGCAAAGAGACTAACAGAGGCCAGATTTTTAAGGGTCATTCCAAGCCCGCCATATGGGTCACAGAACCGTGTGGAATGTGGATGTTCTTACAGACTTGCAGAAGAGCATGAAATGAGGCCATCACCATCTCAACATCCCCTCCTCCATCAGATGTTGATGCACCCCAAAAACATAAAATACCCCACCCTGGTCTACTGCGCATGCCCCAAACACTGTCAAGTCTTTGTTTACATAGATGTGAAGTGTCTATATAGATAACTACCTCTAAAACCCGGCAGATACAACTCACTGTGTCAACATAGTATGCGACTGTCGCAGTCCCAAACAAACTATATATGAAGGCGCGTGATCATTCCTGTGCACAATGACCAGCTGGTCTTCGGAGAAAAATACCCTGTAAAGTGCGTTGTTTACATGGTTCCATGCCCACTCCCTCCCTGCAGCGTCCGCCATGATACAGCCCCTCCTGACACAAAGCATGTAATGCCTACACACCCGGAAAAAGTATGCATTTCAAACGGTGAATCCATCCCTTTCTAAATTGTTTAGTCGATGCTACAGAATGCATATCTCCACGCTGGCTACACACCAGAATTTAGCTACCATAATCCTCACCTGACGTCGCCATGTTGGAGAACGACTGCCAGGATCCCGGATGGAGACGTGGATACACAAGTATCCGCATTCATGCTTCGAATCGTGTTTCCTTCATCGCAATGGTGTAGTTCACTCTATCACCACTGGAGGGCGGTTTAGGCCTAGTTGACGGAATGAGAGGTTCTCAAAAGTTATTAATGAGAAGGGAATCTGTTGCCCAATTGAACATTTTGTACATTTGTATGCCTATGTTCACTGTGTTAATCCCATTGCATGATGACGCTAATATGATGCCATATATTTGGTAGATAAAGGTGTAAAGGTGTTTGTTTCATTCTGAGTGGAGGGGGTTTATTGTGTGCGTGTGTGTGTGTGTTGGTTCTTCTATCCTTGTGGGGACCTAAAATCCCTGTGGTAGAAAAGGTGTTTGTTCCATTCTGAGTGGAGAATATCCATCCACAAGCAAAAGGTAAGTGGAAATATTACTTGGTTCAAGCATATATTATAATAACTATGCACATGTGTTGGCTACAGTATGACTGTCTGCTCAAGACTTCCCCTTTTTGCATTGTCTGTTTGCCCTAAACTTTGGAGCTACTGTGGCAACAGCTTCTCCATGCCTTATAACTTCTGAAGGACAAAGCCAGTATGTTGGATGAGTTTATTGTGTGTGTGTGTGTGTGTGTGTGTGTGTGTGTGTGTGTGTGTGTGTGTGTGTGGCTGGCTGGCTGCGGATGTAGAGTATCACACAAGTCAGAGGTTAGGGCCAAGGGGAGGTCTTAACTCTCTCACTCATTTCCTTGGTCACCGAAACCAAGGTCTGAAATACTTAGTAACTCCAAAACACTTAAATCAGTGTTTTGACAACTGGCTCCCACATGCATTCCACACAGTAGCCTGTAGACTTAGACTTGGAAGTACAATGTCACTGTGATAGGACTTTGTAATGAAAACCTTGTTCTTCCACTTCTATCTTATTTGGTTTGACTTAACTTGCTAGTTTGACATTATTAGGTTGTGCTGGACAAATATGTCATGATATCATTTCTATCTGTCAAGTGAAAAGATACTGCTGTTATAGTGGAGGACATTTTGACCGTTCACTTGCGAAACCATTTTATTGTACATGTTTGCCCATGATTGTTATCTGTTTGTCCAATGGCAAAGTATCGGGAGGGAGCAGGAGTAGGCGTGACAATGCCATACAAATAAAGGCATTTTAATTAATTATATGAAGAGTGCCTTGGTCCTCCTTTGTTTCTGATGACCAATTTACCACTTTTACCAAAGAGCACCTTATGTCTACCAAAACCTACTATTGTGTACCTTAGTAACACCTTCTGTCTACCAAAACCTACTATTGTACCTTAGCAACACCTTCTGTCTACCAAAACCTACTATTGCACCTTAGTAACACCTTCTGTCTACCAAAACCTACTATTGTACCTTAGTAACACCTTCTGTCTACCAAAACCTACTATTGCACCTTAGTAACACCTTCTGTCTACCAAAACCTACTATTGTACCTTAGCAACACCTTCTGTCTACCAAAACCTACTATTGTGTACCTTAGCAACACCTTCTGTCTACCAAAATCTACTATTGTGTACCTTAGCAACACCTTCTGTCTACCAACATCTACTATTGTGTACCTTAGCAACACTTCCCTTCCTTATTTTTTTCGACATATTGTAGACCTCCATTTGATATACTGTACACATATTTTCCATTCGTTTTTGCATTAGGCTAACCCTCATGACGGTCAAAAGCACCAGTGAACGTCAGAGTTTCTGCTCAATGACAAGGCAGGAAATTAGTAATTCCGGTCTGGAGCCTGGCCTGATTGTGTGTGTGTGTGTGTGTGTGTGTGTGTGTGTGTGTGTGTGTGTGTGTGTGTGTGTGTATAGAGTATTTTTTTTGTCTTTGTGAGTGCTGCTTATTAGATCATAGATCAAGTCAAATTAATTGAACAAACACTGTTACAATTTACATTGGACACAATACAACTTTGTGTTGTCCGACTCATTTTTGGTCAGATTGTTTTTAGTGGACTTATAAGACTGCGCCATTGTATGTTGCTAAGCTTGGAGCTGCTGGTGTATGACAGAGTGGAAAACCCAGTGAGCCAAGCTTATGCTCTCTCTTCCATCTCTCTCTTCCATCACCATCACAGGGTCATTGTTACAGCACATGGATGCCAGTCTGGTTGGTTGGACTCGGCTCAACTAGTGGGTTTCCCGTTCCTTTACAGAGCCTATTTAGAGTTTTACTGGTGCTGACATGTCTTACTGGAAATCATTTCAGTATGGTTGATGTGTGTGTGTGTGTGTGTGTGCAGGGGGGTTAATTGATGACAGATATGTTTTTGTACAATACCAGCAGTACAGTGTATATCCACAAGACATATGGGTACCATTTTTACAGAACAGGTGGAATGTTAGAGAATTATTCAGTGTTTCAGATTTGTTTGATTGTTGGGAAAATTATTTTTTAAATGTAGATTCTTGTCACTAAGTGAGTTCTTGTCCTTTTGCCTTTGGTTCTCTTGGTTCACCGAAAGCAACAGTCAGCACCTGCCAAATGACTACTGTACTGTAAGTACCCTTTCAACAGCATCTCATAACACTCATATAAATAGAACATTTCTCAATTGATTAATAATAACAAATTGGACTTGTTCAAGGACATCTCATCAAAGTTCCATAGATCTGTCAGTTGAACCGATGTCTCATTTCACTGCGAGCTCCACCAATATATGATCTAAAGCTCTCCTGAGAGATGCGTTTTCTGTGTAGTTATGACGCTCTTGACCAATGATATTACATTATGATATTTATTACATTCCATGGGTGACGTGTGTTCCCCTATTCACTCGGAGACGGCCTCATGTTGTCATCTGCTGATTGTGGCTTCAAAGTGCAACACCACCAGCACACTTGTTATAGGTCTCACTTCATCAGTTTTCAGATGGTATTATAATATTAAACCATAGTACTTACCAATCTGTTTACCGGGAGCCTGTAGAATCAACTATTTGTAAAGCAAGCTGTGTTTCACTCGAAATGTGTAATTGGCATGTAATAACCAACACGAATGAATCACACTAAAAAGCTTAAAAAGCCAAGATGATCTCCCTTGGGAACAGCGTGACCAGGTACACCCAAGATTATTCTGTGGTTATTGGCAGGATCATTTATTAAATTTTTCGGCACAGGAAGCAGAAGGAATGCTGGCTCAAGCTCATTACGTACATAATCATAAGATTTACTTGACCACACACTGTCTCTTTAGAAAGAACCACACTGATCATGCTTGGACTATGTGCTTTGACCAAATTCTCTAATAATTGTATGTAGTCCAAACCTTGCTCAGAGTATTACAGCTGGACTTAGTTAAATGCTATTGTAGGTTTGAAAGATAACTACATTCTTAATTATACTATTTCATTGTGAGCAATCAAGTCAAACAAACACAATGTTTTCTTATATGACTTTTTTCAAGTTGTGTGTCTGCTGTCTTGAGAAAATATGCAATCGCAGATGTCAGAGTGACCTGTAGAAAGACATTGAATAGGTCAGAAAATTTGTTTAAACCTGCAGGGGGAGGTCGGTAAAGCCATAACTGCAGTGGCTGTGCATCAACGTGTGAGCTCCACAAAAGGCAGGTCTGTCACCATTGCAAAAGGTATGCAGACGAACTGCATGATTGAGTAAAGATCTGTTCTCTCAAACCCCTTGCTTTGCAAACAACAGAGCTGAGAAAAGGGCTGGTAAATTAGTTTAATATGATTTTACAGAGATAAGGGGGATGTTTGCTGTGGATCACGCTCCATCTGAAACTATTCAAGTGTGTGCAGTGGTAGCAGTAAAGAGTGCAGGGGTGGCAGTAAATCACAATGCTAAAGCTCCATTTTAATGACACCACTCTCTCTCTTGGCAGGCAAACTAGTCTCCTGAGGTTTTACAGATGCCTGTATCACGAAAATGTCAGCTCTCCTCATCCTTACTGAGGAGCACTGATGAGGAGAGACTAAGGGGAGACAGAGGAATCTAGGTTGGAAATCTAAGATACAGGACTTTGTTAACTGACCTGGGTTTGTTTTTACCTTAGATGGGATTGATACGGACAACCTCAAACTCTTCCTAGAATACTTTCTGTCATTACCGCCTTCGACACTAGCAACATGAAAAGACAGACAAAACATAGGCTGCAACACAGGAAGGTTTTAGGCACACATAATGAACCCTGACAATGTGAGGAAAGAGATGATGTCATGAACAATAACATTGACATCACCTCAATGACGTTTGGACCAGCTCCAGGCATAAAAGACATAAGCGGTTGCTTAGGGCCACAGGCCGCTAGGTAGCCCCAGACCAAAAATAAATATATACAGCGCCTTCGGAAAGCATTCAGACCCCTTGACTTTTTCCACATTTTGTTAGGTTACATCCTTATTCTAAAATTGATTAAATTGTCCCCCCCCACACACACACACACAATCTACACACAATACCCCATAATGACAAAGCAAAAACAGATTTTTAGAATTTTTTACATTTACATAAGTATTCAGACCCTTTACTCAGTACTTTGTTCAAGCACCTTTGGCACCAACTACAGCCTCAAGTCTTCTTGGGTATGACGCTACAAGCTTGGCACACCTGTATTTGGGGTGTTTCTCCTATTCTTCTCTGCAGATCCTCTCAAGCTCTGTCAGGTTGGATGGGGAGCGTCGCTGCACAGCTATTTTCAGGTCTCTCCAGAGATGTTCGATCAGGTTCAAGTCCGGGCTCTGGCTGGGCCACTCAAGGACATTCATAGACTTGTCCCGTAGCCACTTCTACGTTGTCTTGACTGTGTGCTTGGGGTTGTTGTTCTGTTGGAAGGTGAACCTTCACCCCAGTCTGAGGTCCTGAGCGCTCTGGAGCAGGTTTTCATCAAGGATCGCTCTGTACTTTGCTCCGTTCATCTTTCCTTTGATCCTGACTAGTCTCCCAGTCCCTGCCGCTGAAAAACATCCCCACAGCA